CACTACACACACACACACTCTCTCTCTCTCTCTCTCTCTCACACACACACACACTACTCTCTCTCTCTCTCTCTCTCTCTCTCACACACGACACACACACTACTCTCTCTCTCTCTCTCTCTCTCTCTCTCCCTCTCTCTCTCTCTCAATTCAATTCAATTCAATTGAAAGGGGCTTTATTGGCATGAAAGTTAAATTAAACAATGTTGCCAAAGCATCACAATACAAAATAATTAACAACATTAACATACATTTCAAATGTTTACATATTATTGATGATATATATATACAGTGATACAATTACATTTCAACCCTCTCTCTCTCTCTCTCTCTCTGTCTCCTCCCCTCTGTCTCTCTCTCTCTCTCTCTCTCTCCCTCTCTCTCTCTCTCCCCCCCTCTCTCTCTCTCTCTCTCCCTCCCTCTCTCAAATTAAAATGAAAAAGCTTTATTGACATCACAATATTGAGGATAACGATAATGCCAAAGCTTTTTTGAAATAAGGATAATTACAGCTTCCACAAAAGCAGAATGAACATGTTTTCCATACAAGGAAAACAATGTGCGTTCTTTTTACTTGAGCAAACAAATTCAACTAAAACACCCGCCCCCCCAACATTTCTTAAAGAAGCCCTGTTCTGCTTTTTGGGTTTGTCCCTTTCCTGTGGTTTGTTCTGAAGGTTTCTGTGCATGTAAATGATCTGCAGAGGCTACAAATAGAAAGTTCCGGAACACGGTGACATCACTACGGAACACTCGCGCCTCTATTGGCTAGCGCTCCAACACATTGTACGTGATAGGCTAAAAGGGGGGGGCGGGACATCTCTAAGCAGGTTGACCAATCCCAACAGAGCCGGCCAGCTAACCAATCAGAGCAGACTGGGCAGATATGAACCTGGAAATGAGCAGAAGAAGGTTCCTTTAACCCCTTTATGTGACAACAAATTATCAATTTGAAATGTAGAATATTTCTCTCTCTCTCTCCCATCGGCATTTTTGCTCCTCGATCCCCTCCTGACTCCTTCTAACTCAAACCATCCTTCCTTCCATCCTTCCTTTAATCCTTCCTCCTCTCCAGGTTTATCAAAGCGATCCTGATGAGAGCAACCTTGATAAATGCTAACAGCCCTCTCTCCTTGCTTCCTTTCCTTGCTTCCTCCAGTCTTAGTATGAGTCTCTGTGGTGTTTAGAGTTATTTTTTCCTCACATTGAAACGAATAACTTCCTGTCTCTCTTTTATTTCTCTGTGTCTCTGATAGAAAATGTGCGCTGAGCGGTCAGACCAAAACCTGTAAGCACAGAATCAAGTTTGGAGATTCATCCAACTATTACTACGTCTCTCCGTACTGTAGATACAGAGTGAGTACACACACACACACACGCACGCACGCACGCACGCACGCACGCACGCACACACGCACACACACGCACACACAAAATAAAAAATATGTTTTAATTGTCCGTCTCTTCCTCTCAGATCACAGCAGTGTGTAACTTCTTCACCTACATTCGCTACATCCACCAAGGGCTGGTCAAACAGCAGGATGGTAAGACACACACACACACACACACACACACACACGAGATGTTCCTGAGTGAACGCACTAACCCTCGTTGTGTTTCCAGCGGAGCAGATCTTCTGGGAGGTGATGCAGCTCCGCAGGGAGATGTCTTTAGCAAAGCTCGGCTACTACAAAGACCAGCTGTGACTGACAGACAGCTCCAGCATCCAATCACAGCAGTCCGCTCCCTCAAGAAGCCCCGCCCCCTGACCCTCCTCCTTTTGTGTGAGTGTGTTTTCGTGTGAGAGAGAGAGAGACTGTCTGTTCCATGTGAAATTTGCTTTATTGTAAACACTCCAAAATATGAAGACATGAAGAGAGAAGTGAAAATGTCTGAGGAGCTTTGACTATGCTTTGTTTTCTCCCCCTCATTTATAAATACCTTCAATCATTCAATCAGAGTTTAACAATAGTCATTCAGGTTCCTCGCTGATCCAGAACTCTTCAGTCAAATATTATTTATTGTTTTATGTTTGAGATCTTAAAGTAGGCTTCGCTGAATCTTAAAAATATATCAAGACGCCCCCCAACAATGTGTTTAAGCTTTTAATTGACGTTTGTAGTATATGATGAACGCAGTCCGGGTAGTTTGATGCAAAGATAATCAGAAATCTGGTTCAATTCATTTCTCCAGGGACGTGGCTTACTGTACCTGCTTAGTGAGTATTTACAGCAACAAACTCATTCAATTCAAATCATTTCATCGTTAAAGAGCTGCAATGCTTCGTCCACTAAACTCAAACTATTTTGAATATTCATTAAAGTTTTAAAAGCAGCCTCTCAGATGTGAAGAGTTCCTATTGTTTAACATCAGATCAAACTGAATATCTGCAGACGGATAAATCCAGACATGTAACAACAATGCCGTGGACTTTTCCTCTATTTCGGACATTTTAAAACCAATGAATCCAGTTAACGGATACATTTCGAAGTTGCAGCTTGATTGTTATTATTTCTCTGGTTTTTCCCTCTCGATGTCCGTCTTCCTCACCGTCCTGAGTTAGTTTCACTACAAGAGCACAGAGCAAACGCGTCTACTCAACATTTTACAGTCAGAAAGATTCTATTTATAATTCCTTTAAGACTTTATGACAGTTGTTTTGTGATTTCCAGACGTTCATGAAGCTAAAGAAACACTCCATTTCCTGCTGTTAAACACTACGTACATAAACACTACGTGCTGTTAAACACTACGTACATATGCTGACATCATTACAAATGTGTGGGGGGGATTCTCCTTTTACGGCTCCTGGTGTTTTGAGCCTGCTGTATTTAATCAATCAGGATGACGTGTAGATATTAAGCTGTGTGTGTTAGGGGATGTGTGTGTGTGTGTGTGTTTGTACGCCTGCTGTTGTGTAAACTTTATAAATATGTTAATTTAAACCTGACTCTGCATCTTCTTCTCTCATTCGAAGTCAGTGTCACTCTCCCGGTTTGGTTTAGTGCCTTTTCTCTCAGACACTCTGAAATAAAAACAGTAATACCTCTGGAAACACGCAAATGCCTGGAGTCTGTTCACGCTGTTACGGCCCGTCCACACTACAGCTTCAAAAAAAGCTTGCCGGCGGGCGTGTCTGAAGCTCGACCAACAACCAATCACATGAATCTCCCGCCCCTGACACACAAGCAGCGGTTTGATTGGCTAGAGCTTGTACTGGCATATGATTTGATTGGCTGACGCTTCCACCAAAAGCTTCAGAAGCTTCAAAAGTTGAACATTGTTCCCGTCCACACTACAGCTTCGACAGCTTCAAAAACGGTTTCCAACGCGTCTGCCCTCAACCTTTGCAGCCTGAAACGCCAGGAAAGCTCCGCTACCCACAATGCAGTTCGGCGAAAAGCGAGGCAACGTGACGTCACCCCATTCAAGGTGAATGGGCAGACGCGTTGGAAACCGTTTTTGAAGCTGTCGAAGCTGTAGTGTGGACGGGCCGTTAGGAGAAGAGGTCAAAGGTCACGTCTGCTCAGAAGCACTTGTGGTTCACTCTGCGGCTGAATTGGTATTTGTTTTCCACATCGATAAAACATAACTCAGACTGACTCGAGAGCGAGGGAAAAGAGGTCTTCAGGCAAGACTAAAAAGTTTGGAGGGTGGGCGACAATTTGACATGGGGGGGTAGGTCGTTCCAGAGCCAGGGGGCTACCGCTGAGAAGCCTCGGTCTCCCCTGGTCTTCTCTTGGTTTTAGGGACTACCAGCCAACCTTAAAGCCCTTGAGGGGGTGTACAGCTGTAGGAGGTCGGAGATGTACTGAGGGGTCAGCCCATTAAGAGATTTAAAAACAATAACAGCCAGAATTGGGGAAAGAGTAATGTTCAAGGTTAAAAAAAATCAATGTACGCTTTGTAGTAGTAGTAGTGTAGTATGTCTAAAAAGTGACAAACGGAAACCCCTTTCATTTCAAAGTAGGAAAGGTTTATTAACACATAAATTAAAGGCAGGAAATATATATTATGTTAAACACAATGCTGTATAAATCAGTGTTGGGACAAGGCAACTGTTTAAAGTGTAGAAACATGACATTAAACAAGCAAGTTCAAATCAGAAATACAAAACAAAGACACTGAACATTTATTGAATTATTTAAGGTCAAATGATACTTTTGTCCACATGACCGATCCATCTTAGCATCTCTATTCTCTTTAGACGTTTCACTCTGTAGGTTTGATGTGTTATTTTTCTCATGATATTGTCTGTAAACCACTGATACTTCTGGAGACTCGCAAAATAGTTTGCTGTCAATTATGGTTCTTAGAAAGATAGAAAATCCCCCAACATCCGGAAAATATTGCAGTTTCTCTTTCCCTATTTTTTGGAAAATCTCCCAAAACATGTAAATATCCATCATCTGTTCAATTAGGAGTATCACTTACACTCAAAACATGTGCAGTCATGGGCATCACATCAGTCAGTTTATTTTCTTCTCCATGATGGAGCAATCAAAGTGCTTCTGTGACCAATCAGATCAACAGATTTCTCAAATGTCTCTGAGTGAAGCGTAGTTTATCAGCCATCAGTGGGTTTATCGCGGCCACATCCCCCACGCTAACCCCGGCAGGACGAGAGCGACGATGACGGAGGTGAAGAGGTTCACGGCGTTGTTGTCCAGGATGGGTTTCCCACAGATCCGGGTCGTTGTGGCCGACTCGTAACTGACCACCTTCCCAATGCTGGCGTCAAAACCTACAGACGGACGGAGGAGACGCTGGTTAGTGACTTTTTGCAAATGCAATATCGGAGAAAGAAACATGGCCTGGGAACATTTAGCCACTTCTGTGCATCGTGAAGTATTTACTTTTACTTTACTATGACTTTTAACATATTTCAACATACTATGATTTTTAAAAACTTTTTCTGACGGGCTGTACTGTGACTTTTTTTTCACTTTTTCGACATACTATACCAGCGCTTCTCAAAGTGTGGTCCGTGAGTATATTGGTAAAATTTCACATTTGAAATACATTTAAGTTTTCCGCACTCTCGCGGGAATATCTCCGCAATGGAGCGAGCTCAAGTTTCATTCGATTGCATGAAATAGCCCAGCGCAACACCTTCATCACACATGTTGCCACCTGTTTGTACCATTTGTGATGTGTTTTTTTATATTTGTGGAGTTAGGAGGTCCGCGAGTGTTTTTTTATTGGTTAAGTGGTGCTTGGTATGAAAAAGTTTGAGAAACCCTGTACTATACGATAGGCACTTTCACACCGGATTACTTTTCCCAGGAATAGTTCCTGGGATTTTGCGTTCACACCAAAAATATCTGGAACTAGAACTTAGTTTTCGGGGACCTTTTCACCCCCTTTTCAGTCCCTGCTAGAGAGGTGGGAGGAAAAGGTTCCAATGTCTGATTGGCTGGGCGAATTGCAAACCACTCCCTGTAAAACTCAGAAAAGTTTTGTGAAGCCGCCATTTTTATTTGCTCGCATTAGCATTATTAGCATTAGCCGAGCGCAGAGAGACTAACTTATGGCAACACAAAAGAAAACATGGGAGCGGTGGAGATGAGGAGGTGTCGGCGTTCTGGCGATTTACTCGGAAGGCTTCAGTAGAAGCTGCTGG